AAAAAAAAAAAAAAATTAAAAAAAAAAAATGAAACAGCCTTCTGAATTGATCCTGGGACCTAGATAAATTTCTTAAGACCATGCTCCCAATTCAACATGCTGGTCCCCCACTGACAGGAGTGCTTTTATGCCAACAATTTTTATATCACTGAAGAACGTGTCACTGAAGAGTGAATTCTGACCTTTTTGTCAATTAAAATGAAAGCACAGTCTGAAAATTTAGACATGTAGCAATTGAGACAAAAGAGGATGTTGAAGTTGTTTGTCTTAAGAAATTCACATAAATGCAAATAGCAGAAAATAGACTGAAAGATTTTCATCAAAGTGAAAAAGGCTTTTCTTTTTAATATGTGGAGGTCAGCAATGTAGTAGCAAGCAGCATATTGTATGGGGTGTTTTACTAGCAAAATGACTTCATGTATTCAGTTTCATTTCTGAAGTTTCTCTCAAGACAACCCTGTAAAACAAGAAGGCCAGATAGTATCCTGAATTTGTAGATGAGTCACAATAGGAAATTTGCCAAGGATCCCTTAATGCAGAGAAGGTAACAGGGTGACATGATGCCCCAAAGGACAGGTGCTCAGCCAGCTCCAGTAGAACAGATGGGAAGCAACAGGGAAGAAATGAATGGTAAGCAAGTTTCAGATACTTGCTAGATTTTCAATTTACGGTTTAAATCTTAGAGATTGGTGAATGTGGGTTTTGCATACATTTAAATTTTCTTTTTTTAAATGTTTATTTAGTTTTGAGAGAGAGAGAGAGAGAACATGTGCATGCATGTGCACCTGAGTGGGGAGGGGTGGGGGGGGGGGGGGGGGGGGGGGGTGGTGAGGATCTGAAGCAGCCCCCCAGCTGACAGCAGAGAGCCTGACGTGGGGCTCAAATTCAAAACCATGAGATCATGACCTGAGCCAAAGTCGGACACTTAACCGACTGAGCTACCCAGGCACCCCTAAATTCTGACTCTTAAAAAGGTGGCAAATCCCCCTTTGTTGATCCCAAAATTAACATATCTACCCCAGAGAGAGGGCCCAGGCCTTTAATAAAATCTACTAAAATGTAGATCTTTGTTGTACTGTGGGACAGACTTACAAATTGCGTTTTATCAAACGATTTGTCACAAAATAAGTAGACTTTTGAAACATGCCTTTAGGTATAGTCTTTTCAAGTATATGATGCCTCTATTTTCTATTTTTATTTATTATATTATTTTAACTTACTGTTTTCTATTTCCTAGTAATGTCAAGCCTACCTTTGAATTTCAATTCAACAGGTATTAATTGAACACCACGTTTGCAGAGGTATAAAATCCTACAGGTATAAAATAAAGTCAGACACCCCCCGCCACCAGTGGAATTGGTCTGGAATCCCAGACCTCCTTGATTTCACCCCTGTTGTGGCATCTATTATATTTTCGTAGCTGTTTGTTGATTGTTTATTGATCATCTCTCCTGCTATTTAAAAGCCTCTGAAGATCATATACTGGACCGTCTTGCTCATTGGTATTCCCAACACCTTACACAAGGCTCCAAAAAATGTTGGATTGGATTTATTAGTAATTTTAATATAAAGTTCTAGGATGTATATAATTTTCTGAGTGATGTATGCCAAACATGCCAAAGCAAATATATTTAAATTGAAAGTATTTGGTGTGGGGCACCTGGGTGGCTCAGTTGGTTGGGCGTCCGACTTCGGCCCAGGTCATGATCTCAAGTCTGTGAGTTCGAGCCCCACGTCGTGCTCTGGGCTGACAGCTCAGAGCCTGGAGCCTGTTTCAGATTCTGTGTCTCCTTCTCTCTCTGCCCCTCCCCCACTTGTTCTCTGTCTCTCTCTGCCTCTCAAAAATAAATAATTTTTTTTAATTTAAAAAAAAAATAAATGAACATTAAAAATATATATATAGACTAGTTACTGATCTGGGTGCTAGACAGATCTGATCTCTCATTATAGTTTTGTTCATTCACCCAGCAGTCATGTATACTGAGATGTATCTAGTGAGTGAGGGCAGGACATTAAGTGGAACCTAGTGCTGCTATGAAAAATGCCATGTTATATTAGTCTTTAGAACCTCCACTACATATTGTTAATTACCTTTTTAATAGCTTTATTGAGAGATACTTCACATTCCGTGGCATTTCTTTTAAAGTATATGATTCAGTGGGTTTTTGTGTAATCACAGGCTTGTGCAGCTATCTCCACCATCTAATTTTAGGTTATTTTGGGGGCACCTGGGTGGCTTAGTTAGTTAAGCATTCGACTTCTGCACAGGTCATGACATCACAGTTTGTGAGTTCAAGCCCCTCATCGGGCTCTGTGCTGCCAGCTCAGAGCCTGGAGCCTGCTTCGGATTCCATGTCTCCCTCTCTCTGCCCCTCCCCTGTTCATTCTCTGTCTCTCTCTGTCTTTCAAAAATAAATAAACATTAAAAAGTTTTTAATAAAAGGACAGTTTCATCACCACAAAGAAAACCATTAGGAGCCACTCTCCATTTTCCCCTTCCCTCAGCCCCTGGAAACTGCTAGTCTACTTTCTGTCCCTTAGAATTCTCCTTTCTTTAGGTATTTCATATAAATGAAGCATATATAATATGTAGTCTTTTGTAATTGACATCTTTCACTTAGTATAATGTTTTCAAAGTCCATTAATGTTACAGCATGAATCAGCACTCCATTCCCTTTCGTGGCCAAATAATACTCCATTATACAGATATGCCACAGTTTGTTTATTCCCCCATCAGTTGACGGACATTTGGGTGTTTCTATCTTTTGGGTCCTGACAGTACTGTTGTCATGGACTGACGTGTGCAAGTTTGTATTTGAACACCTGTTTTCAGTGCTTTGGGGTGTGTACTCAGGAGTGGCTGTGTTGGGGAATGTGGCAACTCTGTGCTTAACATTTTGAGAGACTGACACATTGGTTTCCAAACTGGCTGCCCCATTTTACAGTTCCCCCAGCAGTTAATGAGGGCTCTGTTTTCTCCACATCTTTGCCAATGCTTGTTATTTTGTTTTATTTTACCCCTCCAAATGGGTATGAAATGGTATCTCACTGTGGTTTTCATTTGTATATTTTAATATGTTCATTGGCTATTTGTTTATCTTTTTTGAGAAATGTCTATCCAATCCTTTGCCCACTTTTCCATTAGTTTACTTGGGTTTTGTTTGTTTGTTGAGAGAGAGAGCACAAGTCGGGGAGGGACTGAGGGAGAGGAAGAGAGACTCTTAAGCAGGCTCTATACCCAGTGCAGAGCCCGATGTAGGACTCCTCTCATGACCCTGAGATCATCACCTGAGCTAAAATCAAGAGTCAGACTTTTAACCAACTGAGCCACCAAGGTGGCTTTTATTTGGTTTTTATTACTGAGTTGTAAGAGTTCTTATACATTCTGCATATAGCTCCTTTATCAGATATACAATTTGCAAATATTTTCTCCCATTCTGTGGGCTATCTTTTTGTGTTTAATATATTTTAACATATATATTTTGAGGATGGAGTATGAACTTCTTAAAAACCAGGAAACTATAGTGAAATAAATCAGAAGTCTAAGGCAAATATTTAACGAATATGCAAAACAAGTTACGTGCGTGTATAAGGCACTATTTGATCTAAGAGAGACATATTGCCTAGAAGCAAGGTGCACGAGAGCATTTGAGCGGTAAAAGTCATCACAGAGCTGAAACAGGGAAGAATCTGTTTTCCTTCTCCCTCTCATAGTAAAGGAGTACACAGTGCTAGGCTCAAAAAATTAATTCAGGAGCAATAACAGGGAAACTTAACAGCCTTCTCTGTAATTAAACTATTGGAACTAGTTAACTTCCTCCGCTGAATCAGTAGATCATTCTTTGTGTTGTTCATTCATTTACATCTTTTTATGTTTATTTATTTATTTTGCAGGGCGGGGGGGAGGTGGACAGCATGAGTGCATGAGTGGAGGAGGGGCAGAGAGAGAGAGACAGAGACAGAGAATCCCAAACAGGCTCCCCACCGTCAGCCAGGAACCTGATGTGGGGCTCGAACTCCTGAACCATGAGATCACGACCTGAGCTGAAACCAAGAGTTGGAGCCACTCAGGCACCCCTTATTCATTTATATCTTAAGCAAACATTTTTAGCCAGTAGTATATTCAGCACTATTTTCAAAGGTAGCAGACTCTGGAACATATCATCACATACCACCATGCCCCTAGGGCCAGGGGGGTACTGATACCGAGGGTCATGCGTTTCCTTAATAAACACGTGGAGCACCTGCCATGGTTTAGGCACTGGGTTAGACAATGGGAACATAGGAAACAATACAGCAGGCAAATCCAAATAAAGAACTGTTCACACGTGGATGGAAAGACGTAGCATGAAGTAACTCCATTAAGAATGGAGGTTGGGGGATCACACAGACCTTCAATGCTGATTAATTTAAGAAGCACTTTCACATTCATTCCACAGATATGGATATAAAACATATGCTAAGCACAGCATGGCATAAGGTAAAGGGGATGAGCAACCCAGCGGTTGCATATGAATGCAATACAATGTAGCACGTTCCAGAATGAAGCTCCAGGAAGCAGGAGTCTTACTTTGATCACTGGTATATACCAGGTGGCTAGCCTAGAGCTGGAGCATGGCGGGCACTTCGTACTATTTGCTGAACAAATGAAAGCAAGCACAGAAGAAAGGCACTCACCCAGCCAGGGAACAGGCCATTACCCGATTTAAGCCTCAAGGGAAACCAGTGTGAGAGGTGCGTTCTACTATTAATCCCTTAGGCTGCGAGGCTCAGCAAGTGTAAGGTACACAGCCAGCAGGCTGCAGGCTGTAAATGCTGGAGCCTAGCCTGTATCACTGAAAGGCACCCAAAGTCCAGACTTGCAGGATATAAGAGCAAATGTGAAGACAGCAACGACTCCTGTGCCTCAATTTTTTCCTCCCTGAAACCAAAACCTCGTTTTTGCAACATGCAAGGAAGTTCAAGAAATTCCTGAAGCAGAAACGTGGGCGCTTGGACGCATGTCGGAGCTTCCTTGAGCTCCTGTCTAGAGCAAAGACCCTCAGCTCCCCCATGTTAGCCTGAAGAATGTTTAAAGCAGACCCAACAGGCTGAGGGAATTAAGTAATGTCAATTTTGGATGTTTTCATGGAGATAGAAAAATGAGTAAAGTACAGTCCCTAAAATCAGGTCAGTGACAGTCTAGGCAGGCAAATGAGGCAAGTGCAAATAATTACAAGTTTGAATATGCTAAATAATGTAGCCAATCAATCATATTACCGGCGGGCAGAGAAGGGAGAAGGGGCCTCTGGCTGGGGAAATACAGAAGTTTCATGGAGGAGCTTGTAGTTGAACTAGAGAAAGCATAAAACTGACGGGCAAGAACGAGGAAGCTTGGTCCGGAAGGGCTGGCGGGAGCAAATGTGCAGGGGCAGACAGATGAGAGCCAGGCACAGAGGGCGTGATAGCTGGCACAGGAGGGAGGCAGAGAAATGGGAGGCCAGGGCTTGGAGGCCATAGTTCAGTGGGTTCAGACTGGATTCCCAGACACCAGAAATGCTGAGTGTGATGTGTGTGTGTGTGTGTGTGTGTGTGTGTGTGTGTGTCCATCATGGTGACGAGAAAATGATGTGTAAAAGCCCCAGCAAAGAAAGAGCACTAGAGCCTGAATGGGAGGAGGGGCAGTCAGGAGTAAGAGGGAGACCCAGTGGCCACTAGAAGCAGGAGCACCTGTCTTGGGGACAGGCAGAGTATCCACTGCGTGTGTGCTAGGGAAAAGGTGTAGGACCAGCACTGGGTTTGGTTGGTTGGTTGGTTGGTTTTATCTTTTGTTGTTTTTGTTTGGGGTTTATGTTTGTGTCTTTTCTTATGTTTATGTTTTTTAAATTTTTTTGTTAATGTTCATTTTTTGAGACAGACAGAGCGTGAGTGGGGGAGGGGCAGAGAGAGGGGGGCGCAGAAACCAAAGCAGGCTCCAGGTTCTGAGCTGTCAGCACAGAGCCCAATGCGGGGCTTGAACCCACAAACTGTGATCATGACCTGAGCCACCCAGGCACCTCTATTTTTACGTTTTTTTGTGAGGGTTTTTTGTCATTAGTTGTTGTTTTTTTTTTTTTTTAAGTTTACTTATTTATTTTGAGAGAGAGCACGAGCAGGGGGAGGGGCAGAGAGAAGATCCAAACAGGCTTTGTGCTGTCAGCGCAGAGCCCAGCATGGGACTCAATCCCACGGTGCTGGATCATGACCTGAGCTGAAATCAACATTCGGACACTTGACCGACTGAGCCTCCCGGGTGCCCCTGGCATTAATTTCTTAAAAGACTTGGAAACTCATCTTCGTTCCAGAAGAAAAATAAATGATCAAAAACTCAATCTGATAGTCGCCTTCCAAGATGACTTTCTGAGCAGGGACATTGAGAGAGTATATGACCTTCAACAGGCTCCTTTCCTGCCCCCACGCTCCACGTCTGTCTTGCTTGGACATCCAAGACAACGGCTTCATCTTCCCTCTGTCTAAGCCGGGATAGGCATTCCCACCAGCACAGTGATGGGAGTTGTCCTGAGCGTTGGATGCAGGACAGTTCCAGAAGCCCTCCCATACGTGCACCCCTCCACTCACCACTGCCTCCTGCTGCTCAGAGTAAGACAGCAAACCCAGTAATGCTATTTTTAGTCCTGTGTGCTGGGAAAACAACGAGAAAGCCAAACTACATCTTTCTATAGCAATTTCATCCAAAAACACCTTATTTTTATAAGATGGAAACCACCTTGAGCAACAGGAGAAAAATGCCTCAAGTATAATTTGCCTCTTTGTTCGTTGGCTTGAGTTTTTCAGAATATCCTCCTTCCCTGTCCCTCCTGATGAATTTGGTCTTCGTAGTCACTTGCTGGGTTTTTCTTTAGAATTATTGATGACCTTTGCACTCTTCTTCCTGACTTAATGATGAGAGGGGAAAAAATCCACAAGATTTTTTAGATTGCATGTCTAGAATGTTTTTATGCCCACATCACCTTTCAAATGAAATGACTTTTCAGGTAAATTGATTGCTGTGTGTACATATATGTATTATATGGTAACACCTGAGAAAATTAACTGTTATTCATGATGGAGTGTTCACCAGAGCCCTGTAAGTGTGAGTTAGAATACTCTGAAAATGAGAGGTGTGTATCCTGAAAGCAAGAATTTCCTCCCCAAACAGACATAAAGGTCAGACTTGAGACACATCCCACCACACCTTGATCTGAACATGCCTCAACTATGATGGGATTGAAAATACATTTGTCTATTCTCATAAAGGACTGGAGAGTTGGTTTGAAAAATCTACCTCAAAGCCAAGATCCACTGAAACAAATCAACAACAACAACAAAGAGAAAGCCCCAGCTGACAAAAATTAATCCTCTGAAAGTTTGGTTTTTGTGTCTTCACAGAATTCTCCCAAACTCTTCTGCCCTAAAAACAGAAGCTTTGACATAGACGCCATCTACAGCGTGATAGACGACGCCAAGCAGTACGTATACATCGCTGTCACGGACTACCTGCCAATCTCCAGCACGAGCACCAAAAGGTCAGTGAGTGAGTAACCTCGTCCTTCAACCCAGCCTCCAGGGCCAGGTGCAAACCGGGGACCATAGGAAACCGGCTGGACACTGAGGTGCTCTCCGTTTCCCTTTAGGTCACACACCGTTCAGACCTCCGAGTGCATTTGCAACTTACCCATGATGCATCTCCTCCCTCAGTCCATTTGAAGGACTCGGGGACTCACTCTACAGAAGTACCACCGTGTTTTACCTTACAGGCATGAGAGCAACTTTAGAATGGAGATCGGGTTGTTTTCAATTTGAAATTTATTTGAAAAATAAAATAAATTGGAAAAAAAAATTTTTCTGGAAAAAAAAATTTAACACTTTTTAAAAGTAATCTCCTCATCCAGTGTGGGCCTCGAACTCACAACCCTGAGATCAAAAGTCACATGCTCTACTGACTGAGCCTGGCAGATGCTCCCCAAAAAATATTTCTTGAAAGTTCTTAGCTAGCAGGTGTCCCTGAAGGATATACTGAAACTGAGTAGGTCTGGCAAGATTTTCCTCCAAGGAGACATCATTTTGGTCGTATTCATGTCAGTCTTCATTAAAGGCTGATTTTTTGTATTTTTTCAACTTAAAGAAGAAAGAAACTCAGTATGTATATGTTCTCAGTCAATCCATTCCTCTCTATGAGGAAGCGAGCATTTTAAAAAATGAAGGGATTTGGGGGGCACCTGGGTGGCTCAGTTGGTTAAGCATCCGACTTTGGCTCAGGTCATGATCTCTCAGTTCATGAGTTTGAGCCCCACGTCGGGCTCTGTGCTGACAGCTCGCAGCCTGGATCCTGCTTGGGATTCTGTGTCTCCCTCTCCCTCTGCCCCTCCCCTGCTCACGCTCTGTCGCTGTCTCTCAAAAAATAAATAAACGTTTTAAAAAATTAAATTTAAAAATGAAGGGATTTTTACAGCAATTCATCATTGTTTAGAGGGGAAATACTTGAAATAAATTTAGGGATGGACTATATGCCCCTAAGTGCATAAATGCCTGGCTGTGCCCCAGATATTTCCCACTTTTGCTCTCCTGCCAGGAATGCACAGATTTGGCTACTTATAAGTGCTTTGAATAACCCATTTAAAGCCAGGAAAAGTTTTCAAAGTGCACATTTCTGAGAGTACAGCCGGAGACCTTTTTAATTTGGGAAATTGCAATTTCAAAATAACCCTTTACTGAGGTAAATGATGAAGCGTGCCCTCTCTTGCTTGAATATTGTTCATGTTGCCAACCAACATATGCCTAATATGCAGCTTCTTTATGCAGATGCCTGTAAGATTGCAAAAGCATGAGTCTCCTGCAAAGTGATCTCCCATAATGACAGTCAAAAAGCATTTTAAGCTACAAGATATACTATTAAAACATTTTTACTTTAAAATATGGCACATCCCTTGAATATTCGTAGGTGTTTACCCATATACTTTTACATGTTTGCTATCTCTTTTTTATTTTTCTCCAATTTATTGGTTTGAGATTTCATTTTAGATGTCAACTTCACTTTGAGAAGACTTTGAAACATAATAGATACGTTTTGCCTGCTTCTCCTATTATTCAGAATGAGAGTAAGGGATAATGGGGTGATGATTTCTTAGGATTGACAAAACCTTCATTCCATGAAGCCCCACAAACAAAATTAATATCCTTTGTGGCCAGAGAGGAAGGAGTTAGCATAGAGAATCTAAAATATCTTGGAAATGTAGAAGTTAAAGAAAACTAAAAGAATGTTAAAAAACTGAAAACTCACCTGAAATTTTGCATTTTGGTTATTAATCTACCATTTCAGCGGCTGTTCAAAGAGCAGTTCTCTTATCATACTTAGGATATTTCAAACCCACAATCCCATCAAGCATTCTAATGAAAAGTCATCAGAGGGACTCCTGGGGGGCTCAGTCGGTTAAGCATCCAACTTCGGCTCAGGTCATGATCTCACGAGTTCGTGAGTTCAAGCCCCACGTCGGGCTCCGTGCTGACAACTCAGAACCTGGAGCCTGCTTCAGATTCTGTGTCTCCCTCTCTCTCTGCCCGCCTCTCCCCCTCTCAAAAGTAAATAAACATTAAATTTTTTTTAAAAAGTCATCAGAGACATAAGAAGTTCAAACATCCACGTTATAATTAAATTCTTCTCAATCCTACAAAAAAATTACTTAAGAGTCAGCATGGTTACCTGTCTCTACATTGTCCTGGAGAAAGTTTTCAGAATTCAACTAGAATGAACAAATGGACATTGTCAAATATCAGTGCGTCAGTGTGCCACAGGCTGGGCTTTTAGTCTACGCACTGCTAAACATCCAAATGAAAGAGGAAAAATTCACAGGTTCCCAAAGTAGAAGTGGTTGGTCACAGGTAGAAAAATATATACACCATCATTAAGCAACAATATTAGAAGTGACTTCTAACTTTCAAAGAAGTAAGAAGTGAAGGGAACAATGATGTATGGCTAAATCAATCCCGCGGTAAAAAATCAGAAGCCCTATTTCAATTCTTCCTGTTTTGGCAATCAAGTGCTGTTTCTTTTAGCAATTCGCATATTTATTTTGGCCTTGGTTTGGGGTTGTTCGTTATTTATTTCCTCAGTCACACGAAATACATCTTTCAGAAGAAAACCAGTAAATGTGTGAAGGAACAATAAGAATGTAGGCCGGCAGCCAAGAATACTCTCTCCTGGCAAAGTTACCTTTCAGATGTGAAGGAGGAATAAATGCTTTCCCAAACAAACAAAAGCTGAGGGAGTTCACCACCACTAGACCTGTCTTAACAAGAAATGTTGAAAGGCGCTCTTCAAGCTGAAACAAAAAATTGACAGCACACAAAATTCTGATTAAGGTGATAAACAGGCAGTCAGAATTAGAAAACTGGAACTCTTTTTCTGGAACAGTGTATGAAACTCTTAGCTATATCATAAATGTTAAAGAAAAACAGCACCAAAATAACGATAGCTGCAGCAAGCTGGTAATGAAATCATAACATAAAAAGAGGTAATTTGTGGCATCAAAAATATAAAAGGAGGGGCGCCTGGGTGGCGCAGTCGGTTAAGCATCCGACTTCAGCCAGGTCACGATCTCGCGGTCCGTGAGTTCGAGCCCCGCATCAGGCTCTGGGCTGATGGCTCGGAGCCTGGAGCCTGTTTCCGATTCTGTGTCTCCCTCTCTCTCTGCCCCTCCCCCGTTCATGCTCTGTCTCTCTCTGTCCCAAAAATAAATAAAAAAAAAAATATATATATATATAAAAGGAGAGGATTGAAAGGATGATAGGTCAAGAAAAGTGAGCTGCTATCAGCAGAAAAAGGACTGTTTTTTCTATGAGTTGTTTTGGGTAAACCCCATGGTAACCACATGGCAAAAACTTAGAACAGTCATGAAATATAAAGAGGGGGAGAATGAACAAATCATCATGGAAAACCACCAACTGGCAAAAGTAGACAGAAATGGGGAAAAAAAAGAAAGAATGGGTAAAAAGAAAAAGAGAAAAAAGAAACAATAGAGACAAAATAACCAGAAGGCAAAAAATAAAATGGCAGCAGTATATAGTATATATGATTACATCTTAGTATCACCCTCAGTGAAAATGGATTGAACTCACCCATCAAAAGGCACAGAGTGGCTGGATGGATAAAAAAACAATATGCTGCCTACGGAAGACTCACTCCAGCTCTAGAGACAAATACAGACTCAAAGTGAACGATGGAAGATGATATTCCAAGCAAACATATGAAAAGGAGGCAAGCGTAGACGTGCCTATAATAGACAAAATAGACTTCAAGCCAGAAGGGGTCACAAAAAGTAAAGAAGGTCGTTATATAATGACAAAGGGGCCAGTATGTCAAGAAGATATAGCAATCATAAATATACATGCTCCCAACACTGGAACATCAAAATATATTAAACAATTAATGAGAGATCTTAAGGGAGAAATAGACAATAATACAATAACTGTAGGATACTCTAATACCCCACCATCAACAATGGATAAATCACCCGGACAGAAAATCAACAAGAAAATGTTGCAGTTGAATCTGGAACAAATTTAGAACAAATGGACTGCTTAGACATATGTAGAATATTCCACCCAACAGCAGCAGAATACACATTCTTCTCAAGTGCACATGGAACGTTGTCCAGGATAAATCACATGTTAGGCCACAAAATAAATCTTAGCAAATTTAAGAAGGTTGAAATCATACCAATTATCTTCTCTGACCACTGTGGTATGAAACTAGAAATCAACAGGAGGAATGTAAGAAGATCTACAAATAGATGGACACTAACCACACTTCTAAACAACCATTGAGTCAAAGAAGAAATCAAAAGGCAAATAAAAAATTACATTGAAAACACAATGTATCAAATATTGTGGGACACAGCAAAAGCAGTTTCAAGAGGAAAGTTTATAACTATAAACACAGATACTAAGAAATTAGAAAGATCTCAAATAACCTAACTTTATACCACAAGGAACTAGGGAAAAACAAACAAACAAAAAAACAAAGTAAGCCCAAAATTAGCAGGAGGGGGGAAATATTAAGGATCAGAGAAGAAATAAATGAAACAGAGACCAAAAGCCAATAGAAAGGATCAGCAAAGCTAAGAACTGGTTCTTTGCAAAGATAAACAAAATTGACACCGTTGGCCAGACTAAGGGGAAAAGAGGAAAGACTCAAAGAAATAAGTTAGAAATGAAAGAGGAGACATTACAACTGATACTACAGAAATACCTAGAATTATGAGACGCCTATGAACGAGTTTATGCCAAGAAATTACATAAACTAGAAGAAATGGATACATTGCTAGAAACACACAACCTATCCAGACTGAATCATGATGAAATACAAAGTCTGAACAGACCAATTATGAGTAAAGAGACTGAATCAGTAATCAAGAAACTCCCAAAACAGAAAACCTCAGGACCAGATGGCTTCACTGGAGAATTCTACCAAAGGTTTAAAGTAGAATTAACACCAATCCTCCCCCAAACTCTTTCAAAATATCAAGGA